GAATTGAAATGTCTACTGGATGATGACTCAAGGTAAAAGGCAAAAAGAGCTCCCATTTTTGTTTGGAGTCACCTAAACAGCTGTTTTTAAGCGTTTGCGCTAAACTGGAAAAATTCAAAAATCTGGAAGTTGGTTTTCCACATGTGTTGACCGAAAACAACCTTGGGTAACGTATGAACACATTTCACTGCTTTCCCGTAAGCAACAAGAATGACTTTTAGCAAAAAATTGTGACGGGTAATGAAAGATTTATCTTGTACGAGAGTCCTAATTGTATATCGACGGGAAATTAACATAAAGAAGGTTCTCTGGTGTATCTGTGCAGACATGAATGATATACGTTATTTGAAACGTCTGAAAACTAGTCAGATTGTAACCGTAGATTGAATAAATTATCGGATGATCTTGAACTTGAGATGGGAAGTCCTTCCACACACGGCATATTCACCAGACTTAGCCACATCAGATTATCATCTGTTTCGGTCAATGCAGTAGCACGTCTCAGTGGGTAAACGGTTCAAAAATTCGTCGATGATGACTTTAATGTTTTAACGTTGGCAAATTTCTTTCGTGGCGACATTCTTAAGCGGCGTGAGAGATGAGGAAAGGTCATAGAAAACCCTGGACAATGTTTCCAATATTAAGTTCATAGGTTCCTTTTTTTTAATAAGAGTTCTTAAAAAACCTGTGCAGAGCAAGTACAAATCAGGATATGATGCATTTACTTCTATCACAGCTTTTTTCATGGTTATTATGACATATCAACATCGCAAATGTGGTCTTTTTCATACTGGTTGCAACGTTTTCGTCATAATTGCTTACTAATTCAACGAAAAGTACAACTACTACTTAATTAGCTTGAAAACAATGAAATTTGCAAAAACAGACGTTCTTCCTTGGCTTGTTGTAATTAGGGGTGTTGATTTGCACTATTTGATGTGATTGTCGTGATAAAGAAACTTGGATGCATGCAAGGCTTTCTGCTGTGTCCGAGCTATTCTGGGTGATTTCTTCTAGGATGAATCTTAATTACTGTTTGGTAAATGTAGATAGTTTGGTAATATTTGGTAAATATGTGTCATGTGTCATGTATCATGCATAATTTAACTTTGATGAATTAGTAGGTATCTTCCACTTGGTACAAACGGCACAAACTTCGTATGAATGGAACAAATCACAAAATGGTGGCGTCACTGCAGGAAATATTCAAAAATTGTTTTGTGCTACAATATAAGGCCACCTTAAAGTGCACCAAAATTGAATTTCGATTAAAATTCCAATTAATAATTCCATAATTTTGTAAGACAATGAATTTTAAAATGATTTCTTGTTAAAAAACCGTTTGCAGTTTTTTTATCTATGTTATTAATTCTTGGTTACTGGTACAAAAAACATGAAAAACGGTTCACAGAGCCCTCAAACGGAAAATCATCGCATCAGTTTACTGTAGATAGTTTGAGCAAGCTGAAAAACAAAATATAAGCTTACAGAGAACAAACTCAGAGCTGTTCGAAGTGTGCTGACTTATTTATCGGCCAATGTTGCAATAGAGAACTTCGTGGCACCGATAAATGAACGACAGCGGTGAACACAACCCAAAACCTATAATTGTCACCAATGCAGTCGCGGTACCCATCCCACCTCTCTTTAAAGCCTTCTGGTGCAGTGGAGTTACTTGTAGAAAGTGGAATACAACTGGTAATGCATTCCACAGCCTAACGTTACACCATCTTCCTGTACCAAAGCTGTCCACTTCTGTTCGCATGTACCTTTCTACTTGGTTGCTGAAATAGAATCAGAGTGCCTCACTGGCCACTACAAAATCCACGACGAGATTTGCGTTGATTCAGAAGAAACAACAGCCACCTCACCTATTCACTTTTTGGAAACATATCCTTGTGACTTAGCAATTCTCAACCACTTTTAAACTCCTCCGTCTGTTCGTCAGTTCGAAAGACGTGGCCAACGGATTCCTTGTCGAATACGCCCGTTTACTTTTAGCAGTCTACTCCTACTTTTCACTCACTCTCTCTGATCACATCTACATCGTCGTTTAAGTTAGTTTCCTTTGAACGGAAATGGTTGCCATTTTGATGGAGAGCACATAATGGAAAAAGGCTGCAATGCTTAAATGAATTCCCTTGGTTGGACAGTTGGAACTAGCTCACATGACTGAAGTGCTCCTCAATTTACTCAAACCTAACACACGTTGGTGATCATGAACTGGTCACCTGGGCATGAACATGACCAAGGATGCCCACTCAGTAAAACGTTCTAATTCGGAGACGCTCCTCTATTCACAAATTTCTATAAACGCTTCACGTGACCATTCATTTCATTGCTCAATGCACTGATGACTGATTAGTGTGATGTGTGTTTGCGGTCTTTCGGCTGATTGTCCTGCTTTTATTTTGCTTTTGCAGATTTTAACCAATGAAATCGAGGCACTCAAGCTATGTTTAATTAAACTTTGTATCTACACATATGTGAAACTAATAACTGAAGAAAATATTTGGCATCATTTATAGTCATTTTCAGGATTAAACATTAGCAGTGACACTGTTCAGTTGTCATTTTGCAAAAATTTCGTTAATGTTTAATCTGAAATGTTACTTTAATAAAAATGTTCACTTCTTGGCATTTAATTTTTAAAGTATAGTTTGCTACCTTATTAACCCCACCTAGTAAGATGCTTTTTTCATGTTAAAAGAACATGCAACAATGAGCTATTGTTTTATTTAAACGAATGATTTCATCTTTTCATTTTCTAAGTGCTTTCTTGCGTCATAAGTGCGCTTGGCATTATCCACATACCTTTTAATTACTTCTTATTACACGCTGAAAAATGATAAAATAACTGTGCTGTCCCTAGTCATTGATTTTAGGGTCCTAGAGGCAGATGAGGGCATCGTAAGATATGCAGCGGTCAAACGCAACGCGTCGGGGATTAGACGTTCACATTGCCCTAGACAAACAAATTAGTCGAGCCAACTACAGATAATCCTTTTAAGTAACGCCTTCTTTGCATGGTTTATTTTGCCTTTAAATTGTGCATGAATAAAGAATAGCACTCATTGGAGTAATCCTAATCTGCCAAACTGTCAGTGGTTGACTTATCCTAACCACAAGAAACTTTGGTTTTCGACGCTAAATTAAGGTGCTAGGTTGCTGGAAGTCACCAAATTGGCATTATTAACTGTTGTAACTGGAGGGTGATAAGAGACGGCTGAATGAACTGTTGGTCGTAATGTTTTAGCTTTAAATTCAGTAACGAAGCATGGTCAGGAGGCTGAAACTCTGAAGACCCAATTTACCGCATGTTAGGAAATTTTATAATTGTGCGTTCAGTGCTAATGTAACTTTGACAATAAAAGCCATGCCGTTGGATAAGAATTTCTGAAATGCGTGGAAAGTCCATTAAACCAGCTCGAAAAGGGTCAAAAACTTGCTAGGCTTAAACCAAAAAAAACCATTTCATTCTGGTACTTTTAGTTTCACTTTTGATCTCTAATACTATCCGGAGAAGATTTGCAATTAGTCTAATCGGCGTGGTTTACGTTTAATGGCATTTTTACACATTGTAGTCATTTATTCATGACACATCCCTAAGCCCTCTCTCGTGACCTTTTGCCTACGAAAATACAGTTTGGCCGAATAAATCCAACACGAGGCAATAAGCTGTCTTTACAATTTTGACTAAGATTTCACACAGCAATAAAGTTATGAACCGTTTATAGGAGTTTGCTAGCTTATTATATCGTGCCTCAAGGTCAAGAATTCGGTGCTGCTAACCAACCAAAATCGGGCCTCAAAGACGGTCTTTACAGAACATTGTTAGGTTGCTAGGCGATAATGCCATACACGTACAGGAAATGCAACAGGATATGGTGCATTGTTTTGTAATACAGTTCAGTTTTGGTTTTAAACCCAGCGTTCAACAAATTGTTGCACAGATTCGGGAGGAAATCTTTCTTTGTGCCACAAGAACGATGTCATTGGCCTTGAAGTTAACTTTTCTTTTGTAATGGCTTCAATATTGGAGTTGCAAGCTGACGACTGTCTGATATTTTTTCATTACTTGCATATTCACATTTCAAGTCACGTGGTATGCATTTTGTGTATTCTCAGTCAAATTAGCTCTTAATATGAGTGTCTGAAACAAAAAGTGCGTTAAATCATGCGTTGAAATTTGGCCAGGCCAAAGAAGCTTAACTAGAAACAAGGACTAATATTTGTTTTCTTCCAGCATTTTAATTCGGTTTTTTACTAAAATCAGAAATATATAAATGACATCTACAAATCTTTTTGCTTGCCCAACCGTACAGTTTTACCTAGCCAGAGATAAAGTAAGGAAAATAGAGTCGCGCAGGTACATGTCACCTCTGGTAAAATTAACGTTGGTTGGGATTCCCATTACACAGTTGTCTGATTCTTGTGCGAATTTAGAGTTACCATTAATTAGTAGATGCTTCATTCCACAAAAGTGTTTGCTTTGCGGTGGTGTCGACAAGTGTCCATTATAACACTTATCGTCCAGTCTGGTTCATGCTATCTCATTTACGTGCACAATTTTGTTAAAATGTTGAGGAATGAGTTTACGTATTTTAAACTCTAAAAGACAATGCCTGACTAGCAGCTCTAAATGCTAAATTTGCTTTTAATAATTCAGAACTATCGCGATGCTACTCTTGAATAAATGAGCAACATGCGGAAGTTCAGGGGTTATTACAAATCAAATTGCTGACAGTCAGCTTCGCGCCATCTTCTCAGAATTACAAAACATCAGATCTGTCCACCATGACTAGAAGCTACACTGGTCATTTTCACTGAGCGTTTGGTCCACAGTACTATTTTCCAAGTCCTGTAATGGTCAGGAGACAAAAGATTTTTCAAAAAAAAACAAACAGAAAAAATATATTTCGCTTAGTTGGTTGATGATTTGATGTCTGCACAAACATGTGGGCTTGTGCGAAGGAACAAACAGCATTGGTACTGGTTAGTCAATGCAGGAAGTCACCCTCAAATATAACTTTTAGGTTGCACTTAAGAACGAGGTATCTTTTGATGAAGGCGTTGTTCTTGGTGCATTGGTACTCGTCGTCCATGTTGTCAATGGCCTCAACCACGGTCTGGATTTTCTCTTCCAACTCCGAGTTGATGCGTTCCAGCTTTCGGATCTCCACAACAAGCTCCTCAGATGAGAGTCCTACAACCAAAACACAAGACTACAATACTCCAACTCAATCTTACAAGTTCTCTATTCGCAATGATTATAAATATCAGGTAAAAGAGGATTGAAATGAGCGTTGAAGTGGTTGTTTGGGCACATCAAGCCAAGCAATATGGATTACTCAGAGCCAATTGAATTTCATTAAGCACTGTTGAGTTTCTTTTTCCAACGGCCTAGAAAATTAGTACTTTCTGTGCAAATGTACTAAATTAAAACATTTATCAGAGGGGTAATTTAATTTTTAGGTAAATCTGCTAGAAATTACTTTAAAAAATAATATAATCCATTGTAAACACAAAAGGAAAAAGGCGTGATGAGGCGGCAGTGGTTAGAGGTAAGTAAACGTAGGCCAAATCCGTGAACTTATCGACATGAAAACTGATTTAATAGCCAACATAGATATTTGTTTACATTTTTCCATTTAAAAGTATTACAAAATACTTTAAAATGAGTTAAATTAAACGCCAAACTAGGCCATTAATGGTCCCTGTTTTTTGCGTCAGTGCAGATGGAATGACACCAAAGGCTCTGCGACATGAAAAGGAGGCAAAATTAGAGAAGAATTATGCGTCAAGACTAAAGTTTAATCCTGATAATGAATAGACATCGTAATGGCGATATGATCTATTTGCAAGCACCGCGTCATATTTCATTAGGTAAAACTGAACATTGTCTAAACGCCCCAATTTTGATGGCTAAACATTACAGGCGCAAAATTCAAACAAAGTTAGCCAGGACGATAAGCCGACAAGATGGAGGCGCAATTCATCTGATGGTGTGATGAAGTGGGCTTATCACACATTAGTGCATTAAAACAATAAAAGGAATTATAATTGGGGGCGTAAGGCAGATGTTATTTGTTAACAAAAAAGATGTATCGTAGACCCTTTGTGTTTTTCAGTGCCTTAAACCTGGTTTATAAATAAGCAAGCATTTTATTCGATTTCGTACCAAGCTGAAGTCATCATGGTCACAAAAGTGTATGGTTGTCAAAAAAAGTGAAATCGCACAAGAGTTGGGTGGATTAGTCCCAATTTCGCGGCCACGAGGTCTCATTCAAGCACCGAACCCTGCTTGAGTGAAGCGTTGTTCTACCAAAATGTTATTCATTTTCTTTCGGTAAAAATGACTTAACAGTAAATCAAGGCACGCCAAGAGATTGTGAGTGGGATTATACAATTCAAATTAAATGCGTTTGATTGGCCATGTTGCTTAAATTAATAGCAGACAGAGGGTTGTATGGGAGGCAGCGGGCTCGTGCTTAACTAGCACATTTTTTCTGACGCTTTTTCTCCTACTTGCTACAGAAAGATGCAGCTCAATCAGGAAGGCAATGTAAGGAATAGAATCTACTGGTGGTGACACTGGTTATTGCCGAACTTTCATCAAAAAAGTCAATTTTGCCAATTATTAATTTAAACTGCGCACAAAAGGTAGGTCTGAGATTTTCTGTTCTGTGTAAGCCATCATTCGGTACTCACGGAATGTTAAACTAGTCTATATACAAGTGTCCTGATGAATCGTTACCGATAAAAAAATTCCTTAATTTCGCATTTTTAGTGTGCTTACACATACAGTTTCAGCCATTATGTTACTGCCTTCACACAAACTAAGAAGTAATACCTGTTTTGCTTGTTTAATTTGAACCAAAAATGGAAATTTTGAAGCCAGGGCAAATGTCGAACATACATATTTTGTGGTAGGCCTCACAAGCCAAAAAGACTCGACTTTCAAACAATGCGGCTAAAATTTTGAAGCACCCCGCCTGATTGGCTTGCTTAAAGCCACTTTTTTTTGTCAGCGCCCTGAAACGCGGGTGAATAGCAGTGTCACGTGGTCGCACGTTTTCCCAGATTAAAAAAACTTCGCTGCCTCAGCTTTTTTCAATTATTAAACATGACACTTGTCAATTTCAGCCAAATTACACGGAATGACGCACTTTTGCCTTTTTTTGAAAACTTCGTAACATCAAGTATTTTTTTTTAATTTAAAACGAGTTTCATTTCAAAGATTTTTTTTGAGTTGGCCTACTTCGACTTTTTACTGGAAGCCGCAAAACACAATTTTTAAGAAAACCTTAGCAGCCGATGGAATTTGAGCGTAGTTTTACACAGCCTAGACCACAATTATTTCGGCACTGATCCCACCACTGAATGAGTTCTGCAATCTCTCCGCGAGCTTGAGCTGCTGCTTCGTATTTGTTCAGTTGGGTGTGAACAGACCAGCATTTTGACAGGTAACAAGCTCCTTCCACACTGCGGTTGAGGAATTTTTATCAACAAGATTTGCAGCCAAATTTGTGTGGGACCAGACTGCACCCAACACAGCAGAAGCCCAAAAAATTAGTGTGATTTTAAGGGCATTTTACCCTTCCTAACAGCCACAGATTTTTTTGCATTGCATATCTAGTTTTAGGAAAAACGAAATCAAGTACTCACGATCGCAGATTGTCTCGTGGCGCATCCGCATCTCCTTTAGCTTGACACTGCTCTGAAGAATGCTTCCGAAACTGCCAGTTTCGTCGTCAACCAAGGAGTAGCCATTCGTGAGGAGAAGAGAGGGGTTGGTGAGACGCAGGTGAAAGACGATTCGTTTGGTGATGGACTGGAGCTTGCGGTATCGCCTAACCGGATCCAAACTCTTCGATTCTATGTACTCTTGCATTAGTTTCTGCAGAAATTGGTAAATTCGTCGCCACTCCGCAGCAAGTGACTCGTACTCGCTGCATAATTGCATGAAGCGTGTTCGGTTGGGGTTTCCAAGTGCTGATTTGAGGGCTTCCGTTGGTCCTTGTGCCTTGAGGAGGTTCGACACACGTCGGAAGTTGCCGACACTTGGGGACGGCTTGCGGAAGCGATTCGCCGTGTGAAGTGTTCTTTCGAAGGAGCCATTTCTAGGGGCCAGTTCTGTTGACATCGGACTGGTGGTTGGAAGCACCGACTGACGTCGGTTCACGCAAACTGCGTTTGACATTTGACTCATTCCGCCTTTTCTTTCTTCTGCTGCTGCCTGCCGCTTCATGCATATATAGTTTATTCAACAACTACTGTAACCAATCAGATTCCAGCAGTGTATTTATTTTACGTAATCCCTCAGAATGCTTTCGACAGGTAGGGATGTGCGCGTGTCTGCAACTCGCCGAGGTTAAACTGAATATTGACAACCCAGAATTAAGTAAGATGGAAATTAGCTGCGGTGAATTTTACGAAGTCCTAAAATTTAACCATATCCAGACGTCACGCATTGCTGTTGCATTTAACGCTCAAATAATTTATAACTTTGTAGAAATGAAGCACTAAAATTAAGTTCATTAACGTCATAAAAAGGGCATGTAACCACTGTTGTACTTATTAATGAATATGTGGCTATAGAATACATATATTGAGTTCGGATTATGTATGGAAAAAAGGGATTGAAAAATGCTTTAGTGGCGCTACATTCCGAGCTGAAACGCATTGATTTTTGCAAATCCTGAAACACGGAAATTAGTTGTTAGCGGTTTTTAATTGGTGAGTAGCCAGGATGCCTTGCGGTAATTTTTTTTTCATAAAAAATCAGTGACTTCTTCAGTTTCAACAAAACCCTTGTGATTTTCAAGTTTACTGCATTCAGAAGTTACGTTATACATCTCCTGTTCAAATTCAACGCGGGTTAGTCATTTAAAACCACAAACCAAAAACCTTTAGTTGAAGTTCGCCTCATTTGTGTCTGCCTACTGATTATATCATTTCAGCTTCAAAGCTAAATACCGAAGCAATCCTTGCAACCATAAATATGACGATAAACATTCTTGAATTATCCAATGGCGCGACGGGTGAGTTGTCTAGTAGACGGTTGCCTCTGCCACACCCTATCTTCCACACGGGGGCCCCTGAGTGGCTTAAGACCGCATGTCCGTGACCTAAACAATCGGTGACCCCGACGTGAACCCTTGTACAAATTCAATACGCCAGAGGCCCCGGCATGGTTTATGGCTGCATGCCGGGAAAACGTTAAAATGGACCTCGTGAATGACCGAACATGTAACTGCTTGGTTACTGGCTTTATCGCGAGTGAACCCTGCACCCACCTACACACCGTCATCATTGAAACAAGAAGGTAAGGATTTTTATGCCCACTTACTGATGGTTAGGCAGTGGTGAAATCACGTTTTTTAATTTTTAAATTTTGTACTGGCTTTCGCTCCTCACAACGTATGTCCCGTGACTAATGTCCCAAGGTAATAACTGCGTAAAACATGCTGCATTCCAGCAAAAAAATATTCTTTTGAAGCAACAGAGATTCAAATGTCGTTTGGATAATTCTGACTCAAAAGATATGCTAGCTGATAGCTAGAGACGTTTTGAAAAAGTGGGACAAAAATGTAACCTGGCAACAATTCAGAATAAATCGTGAAAAGTAGAATTATGTACTGGAAACACCCTCATGATTTGACTATTTAAGAAGTGCCTGCTTGCATTATTAATTGCTTTTCAAACATATAGCTTAATAGCTAGCGACACGAGCCAGTTCGTTTTGATTTAAACCCTGTACCTTGACATGGAGTCTTTGTATTGCCTTTCATTGGCTTAAAGACCTTAGATAACACCATTTGCGTCATCCTTGAACCATCAACATTGAACGACAACCGAAAGTGCGACATTAAAACAATTCATTTTAAAAAAAGGCATGGATTATGAAATAACTTGCACCTTTGGATTATTTGCGGCTGCCTTTTAACATTTAGCAGATTTTTAATTCCTTCTTCGTGGACAATGCGTGGTTTCTTGTCTAGGAAAATCTAAAGGCAATTTAAGTCACCTTTCCACATGACCGAATTTTTACATTCAAAGTAAGTTAAAAAAAGAAATGCGACAGAAATGTAAGGGGGGGGGAAATGTCGAAAGATTACCCTTAGAACACGTGCCTGCTGAGTGTCACGTGGGTAAGCAGTGTCGTGTTAAAAGAAGATGGCCTTTTGTTTGACCGAATTTGAAAGTTAAAATGGGTGATTGAATCACAGTGCTACTTCGCAGGCGTTCTTTGGCAAAGTAGAAGAGGTAGATGCAGCATGCGGTGGTAGTAAAAATTACTTTCGTTGGCCAAGAATTTTGGGCCATTTAACAACGTAAAATGAATCCCGTTTACAATCTTTTCCTGCAATCCCACCACACGCCTAACACCACTTTTCAGATGCAACTTCAGCCTCTGTCAAATATTATCGTCTTTCACTTCTATGATTCCACTTTATTTTTCTTGCTATTGTGTTACTCTAATACGGTCTTCGTCTCCTGTTTTGACTTGATCCATGCATGATTTGCTTAGTTTACACTGAGGTTCAATTGCGTTCATGTTGCTTTCAGTACAAATATGCTATTAGCTTATCATTAATTTCTTCATACACAAAATCCCCCATGGGTGATGTGTGTTTCGTTAAGAGGTACGCCATGGACCAAATCGTTGTGGATACGGGAAGCTCACGTAAAGCAAATGTCTTCATTTAGACATAAATCGACACCTTAATCGATTTTTCACTGTCCAATGAGTAGAACTAACAAACAAACCAGGCTTTCAAATGCTTTCGCGTGGCGATTCCTTGATTCACTCCATTCTAATCCCAAATAAAATAACATGACTATAAAATAATCTGTTCCTTTTTAATGCGAAAATTACTCTTGAGCACAATTTTTTAATTTAGATAATCTTCTAAAGGCATCGTGACTCACGACGCACTTGAAATCTGTCTGTCAATTACAAGAAAAACAATACGAAACAGCGGCTGTCGACATATGCAATATTCCAGCATTACCTATCAGAGTATATTTAACATTTGGCGAATCGGTTTGCGCCATTGGTTAGCAACAATGTCTTCTTCAACGTCAACCATAAAAATTAGCAGGATGATCCCGTGGCACCGAACCACGATTGAGGGAGATATTCCTTGTGGTGTATGGACCTTAGCATCATTTCCAGGGTAGTTAGATAGTTACAATGTAAACTGCTGAGAGAAAGTGCGCAACTGCACAGCTAGTCAATTAGCAAGGATGTGTCGATATGGAAAAAGCTGATACAATCTTGGCGTCTCGATGTTGCTATCGGACAAAATGGTGATTGCTGTGTCAAAGTCACTCAAGATGGGGGATCATGTGTACAATAATGTCACCTTCAAATGAGTACGTATTAGCGAGATTATTGAATGAGCATTGGTGAGGAATGAATGGCAGTTTTGTGGCTGACGTTTGTCTGAAAGGATTCATCTCAACCTGTTTTGGTGTGTAGCCTTTTAATTTGCCTTTCAGTGGTCTCTGTTCACCTAACCTTGTAGATTATTCATCACTTTTCTTTAAATTCCGATCCGGTGGACGTGTATCAGCACTTCTCCTGCAAGCCTACTTATAATGCACAGGTCGCGTTCTTAGCAATTTCCAAGCACGACATAAGGTTGACTGCAAGCACACAAGATAAGTGCAGTTCCTTCTAACGCAGAAAACGCATGACTAAAGTCATGGGCAGATTGCATGCAAGTAGCACTTGACAATTCTAGAAACTGCGGTTCTTTGTTCAACTTTTGGCCAGATTTGACGCATTCCTCTTGTGTTTTCACAAATCTGAAGCCACCAGTTCTGTTAAAGTGTATTTCTTAGCTTCAAAATTACATTTTGACGTCAAGCAATAAGATAAGTTGAAAAAAAGGTCAGATCCAAAATATTTTAAGCAAACTCTTTCAGTATAACTGCCATACTAGATAAATTGACAAATTTAGCTCACAAAAAATAATCCGTAGACTACTCCATAACAGTGCTCTTCCACTATTAGTTAGCAGCTCGTTTGGATACAAGTGGCCGGACAATATCTTTCTAGCTACTGGCGATTTGGTTTGAAAAAGCGAATCAGCTTCTTGGGTTGGCATCATGGCCCTGGAAGCGAGGGGTTTAAAAACCAATTTCGCGATTACTTTAGTGAGAATTGACATATAGCATTTAAAAGACTACAACCGAAGTCAGAAATAATCTGCTTAAATTGCATTGACACTTATAGAAAGCGACCAACCAGAAGGAATAAGCAAAATTATGCAAATTGCGTCCTAAATCGAGGAAAGATTGTAGGCTTTTGTCTTGATTCTGGAGCATTTTGCAGATTCAAAACTTTTCAGCATAAACAAAATGAGAAAGGAGGTATCTTGCTTAAATAAGCAAAACTTGGAAGCATCCAAAGGCCAGTGTCGGATGCAAGTAAATTTTGCCTGAATTTGTGGAATACGAGTTCTTTTTGCAAAAAAAATTGCGTGATCTGTGAATTATAATATGATGACTACTGTTTGTACATCCGCCTTGCTTTGTGTCAGCAGCATGGCACTAAATCATTGTTTTCTGAAGGAATATGTACACAGGGGATCAACGGCTTTAATTCTGTCAACAATATACGGGAACGATGTTTTTCTGAGCGAATGGGCACACATGGGGCATATCATCTCGTCGGTATGATCAAAGACGGCCTTGTAAATGCTCAAAATGTTTTTCTTAACGATGTGAGCATTGCTATGCCTGTATTGTGAGCCGTAGTGACGCATTAAGCGTTGTGTACTCAGCTAGTGCCTCCTTGCCCTAGTTGCATTTCCTGCCACTTCAGCAGATTCTACCACACGAACCAGACTCTTGCACACGCACATTTCAAAGAGCACCAATCGTAAATCGGGCGGACAAGCCAGAAGCTGAAAGTAGTCACGTTTTTACAGAAACCATTTTTTCTACCTTTTGGAAGTAATCCCTACTACTAGATAAATTCCCACATTTTTACGACTTGGTGAAGGGCAAGTGCTGTGGTTTAGCCGACACGCAAATCATTTGAGCAGCACATTCCCTGTCCAAGATAAAGACTTGACTTCATGAAAATAAGCCTAACCATCTTAACTAAAGTCTAAATTACATGTCTACATGGGTTCATTGGCTTGCCGTTGCACACATGCTGTGGTTTTGCACTTTCTTTTAATTACAGTTATGCCAATATTTATTAATTAGTTGTCTTAGCTTGACGAACAACCG